TGCAATACAGTTGTGGTTTGGTGGTTCGAGATAAGAGCATGTATGGTTAATAATATTGGATTATCCGCGATAGACAGAGATAGAACGAGAGATCTTACAGAGAGATAGAGCAAGAAATTTGTCGCTCTTTTTTCGATAAATTTTATAAACCAAAAAATTCATCAAGACAAATTTCATTTATCGATAGATTTTATTGATAGAAAAATCCATCAATAAATAAATAAATTTATATTATCGATAAATTTTATGTTGATATTATCAATGAAATAAATTTATTGATAAAATTTATTATGATTAAAATTTCAAAAGTTTATCTATAAAATTATCAATAATTTAAATTTTTTGACAAATTTATTTTCATTAGTAAATTTCATTGATAATTTTAAAACTTTTTGTAAAGAAAAAAAATAATATATATAAATACATTTAGTGAAAATAAGTAAAAGGAATGAAAGATTCATATAAGAAAATTAAATTATTATTAGAAAAACACTTTAGCAATGTATAATTGATACAAAACTTTCACCTCGATTTATACAAGTCACTGAATAAGTGACTACTATTTAATTAATAAATTACATATTAGTGTTTTATTGACAAATTTTGTATGGTCATTAATTACTATAAATATAATCTCTAATTATATTCGAAGTTTTATTAATAATAAAAGTTCTTTTAAATATCAATAATTGTAGTTGAGATTAGGAAAATTAAAATTTTGAGAAAGTCATATTAAGTGTATAGTAGTACTAGTAGGGGACAATAACTTAGATTTATAGGTTAGAGTTTTCATATTACACACCAATCATCATAGTTTTTTCCATCAAACACAAGAAGGTTTTCTAGTATCAATCCTCATAAAGTATATACAACAATACTTTCCAATATTGATAACATAGGTCAAAGGTTTCTTCTCTCGAGGTAGTAGCACTAGTGCAAAAAGGTCTTTAACTCACCCTTTAGACGTCTGACCTTCGAATATCCAACGTAAAAAATGACCGGTGGCATTTTTCGTAAATAAAACAACCATATAGACGTCTGTTATGGAAGGAACAGACGTCTAAAGCCATATAGACGTTTGATGTGGGGAAACAGACTTCTATATACTCATTTCTGAAATCTAAAAAGTCACTTTTTGACTCCATTTAGACGTCAGATCCCCCCAATCTGACTTCAACAACCATATAGACGTCCGATGTGGGGGGAACCGACTTCTATATACTCATTTTTTAAATCTAAAAAGTCACTTTTTAACTCCATTTAGACGTTCGATCCTGCCAATCCGACTTCTACAGCCATATAGACGTCCGATGTGGGGGGAACCGACTTCTATATACTCATTTTTAAATCTAAAAAGTTACCTTTTAACTTCATTTAAACGTCTGATCCTACCAATCCGACTTCTACAGCCATATAGACGTCTGATGTGGGGGAACCGACTTCTATATACTCATTTTTAAAATCTAAAAAGTTACTTTTTAACTCCATTTAGACGTCCGATCCCGCCAATCCGACTTCTACAGCCATATAGACGTCCGATGTGGGGGGAACCGACTTCTATATACTCATTTTTTAAATTTAAAAAATTACTTTTTAACTCCATTTAGACTTCCGATCTCGCCAATCCAACTTCTACAGCCATATAGACGTCCAATGTGGGGGGAACCGACTTCTATATACTCATTTTTTAAATTTAAAAAATTACTTTTTAACTCCATTTAGACGTCCGATCTCGCCAATCCAACTTCTACAGCCATATAGACGTCCGATGTGGGGGGAACCGACTTCTATATGGCTGCATTAATACATCGCGAACGCGAGGCAGCAGTTACGCGCACTTAATGTTCATCATCTTCCTCGCGTTTTCTCTCTCCGGGTTACTCTTTTCAGGTACGTTTTCTCACTTTTTGCACCATTTAAAATTAATTTTACTTCGATTACATCACTCTTTGATGCATTATCTTTCATTTGAACCGATTAAAATGCGTTTTTGTGCAGTTTTGCTCGTGTCCTTGGGCGACGATTTCTTGCGTTTTGCACTCCTTCAATTCTCTCTATTATGTTTTTAAAATCATCCAATACAAAAATAACGTACAATACATTCTCTTCAACTAAAACATAAAGTTGTAAACTCGAATCACCATGAGCCATGAGCAACCCGAGAGGCCTCAAGCGGAAAAAGATACAATCAAATACGGCAACGTTTTAGACATTTGATCTATAGTGTCAGATGTCTATATAGACGTTTGACCTGTATGGATCAGACTTCTATATAGACGTCTGATCTGTATGGATTGGACGTATATATAGACGTCAGACCTATTGGGTACGACGTCTCATTAACGTCACTCATATAGACGTCGGACATAGATCAGATGTTAAAAGTCCAAAATAACATACGTCTAAAGATTTTTCTATACGTCTAAAGATTTTTCTACACTAGTGTAGAAATCATTGAACTAGATGTAGCCAGAGAAAAATGAGGAATAAATTTCTATTACTTCTTTTACTTCCATTTGTAATGTTAAATATATTAAAGTACAAAAGAAAATATTGAGAAAAAATTAAATAAACTATAAATTACAAGCTACTTGAAGTAAATTAAAAGTTTAAATTTCTAAAATAAACTACTTTAATATATTTACCGAGTACTTTTGTACTTATCAAACTAGTTTTTAGCTAGTTAAATAAGTGAAAAAATCATTTACTAACCTTACCAAACACAGTGTTTGTATTGGTCAACTAGTTTATAAGAAACAAGATACTAACTTATAAAAAGAAGGGTCTTACCAAACACATTTTCTTATATAAAATGTCACTCTCTCAACTATTATTTAAGCAAATTATTATCTATTCTATATTTTAAAAGGAAGAGTTAAATGAAAATAATGGTTACCTCAAATAATATTATTTCCGAAAGTTAATTAATTGTTACAAAAATATCATTAAATTGTAATCTATTTAAATTATCAGGATTGAAATACAAACACCCACGTTATTAATTCTAAATACCTAAAAAAATATTTTATTAATATGATCATATAGGAAGTCATTCATTTGATTAAAAAATTCAAATTTGATAATACAATGCTCAAAACAAAATTCTACCTTAGACAGTGTGAAAGTGTAATTTAACACACACAAAAATTCTATCCTCTATAATCACAAAAAAATGACCGGTCATTTCTTAAAATTTTACATTGTAGTATTCAACTATCCACATTTCATAAATTTTATCATATAAGTTTGCCTTCGTACATTTCGCCATCATACTTTTTATTTTTTTTCATATTTTACTAATTTGTTGAATGTCTAATAAAGTGGTGACATGACATATATATTTAAAATAACACCATTTTATTATTATTATTTTTCAAAATAACATCGTTTTATTATTAACACATAATGATAAAATATGTAAAATATGATGATAAAGTATGCGGAAAAAAAAATAGATGGTAAATATGAGAAAACGAAAACCTTGATAGTGCATTGTTAAAGAAAAACTTAAACTATGAAATTTGTAAAATCACAATAATTGAGAAATCAAGTATGTAGTTAAGACTCTTCTCCAAAATTTTTTCTCTTCAATTCTAACTTCATTTTTTATTTCTTTCACCGTCAGATATTACCCTATTGTAGATAATTTATTTCATAGTTGTTTTATCTGAACAATTTAGAGTATTAATTCTCCTTACTCAAGCTACGAACCAAAATTTGAGAAATAGAGACAATAACAATCCCCTCTTATCTAGAATCTCAATATTCAAGTTACAATCAATTATTCTAATTAAGAAGTTATGTTCCTTTAAAAAACCTTTTAATTAATTTTCTTAAATAAGTAAGTGTTGAAAGTCTTCTATAAAAATATAAAACCAAATTTATAATGTATAAATAAGTATAAATTTTATGTTAGTTTATAAAATATATAAATAAGTGTAAATTTTACGTTAGTTTATAAAATATATAAATAAGTGTAAATTTTACGTTAGTTTTATAAAATTAAGTTAAATTTAAAATTTATTTTTAACAAGATATATAATTTATGAATTCATTAGTTAAAATTTATCTTAAATTTAATATTTTGATAGTTTGAATGAGAAGGAAACCTAAGTGGAAGCTTTGTTTTATTTGAAATTATCGTTTAACCTAACTATATGATATGGTGAATGGATGATCTTTTGGTTTCTAAATTGTAAAGTTAATTTACTTAATTTTCCAAACGTTGTTAAGACAGTCAAGAAGAAATAAGACTTGTCGACATTACACAACTTATGGTAAGGTCTTGCTAATATTTTTCAAACTTTGTTTAGTGACATATCTTTATTCAAACAATATTTTTAGAGTCTAATCCATTATCTAATTTAGTTATTCAATGTAATATATTTATGTTATGATTAAAATAATATTATATTTATTTTATGAATGATATTATGAATGATTCGGATTATTCATGCATATATAAACTCTAACCTTTTGCATGTAAAATAAAATAAAGGAAAACTTACCGTAATTAAAAATTTGATTAGTCAATCTTGTTTATTCTTATATGGAATCAAATATAAACATGATTATTATTTATCTAAGAATTTTATAGAAAAGTCAAATAAAGCAAATTTTAAAAAACAAAACTTTTAACTAAAACAATCTCACACTCACACATATATCCTGTATTACGCGATAAATGAAAGAGTTTACAAATGTCAAATTTTTGTAATACATTGATAGTATTTTTAAAAATTAACTAATAATATTTTATTTACTTTTAGGAAAAGTACTAATATTTTCACATTCCAAATGTTGCGGAATCATGAAATTTAATAAAATTTGAATTTTATTTCTGGATTCTGGAAGATTTGAAAAACTAAAATTAGAAAGAAAAGAACAAAAAGGAGAGAAAAGAATTTGACACAATAGCCCATAACATAAGAAGATGAATTCAATGGAAGAAAGCGTGTGAATTTGTTTGTTTATATGTATATTTGTATTTGTTTGACTGGTCTTTGCTCTCTCTCTCCTTTCTCTGTTCTTTCTTTGGAGAGAGAGAGGTAGAGAGAGAAAGGGTCACCGGCCGCCCCCGCCAAACGTACCCTCCTCCCTCCTTCCTGTCTACAATAAAAGTCAATTTCATCACCACCTGCCCAACCGGTAACCGGTCCCTCCCTTCACTATGCACATATATTGACCCTTTTCTCATCTTTCTTAAATTTCAATCTTCATTTGTTGATTTCTTCATCTCTGCTCTTAATTATCATCTGGGTATACGAGTTTCTGGAAAAGGTTTAGTTTTTTTATTTTATTATTGAATTGGAATTTGGCCATGTCTACGTCCGCCGCTGGAGGTGCTGGATCCAATGATTCCAATGCTGGCAGGAGACAAAGCAAGAGGCCCAAGTGTAATGATTCTCTTCTGTTATCGTTTATTTTTTGGCTTTTCGTTTTTATTTTGGTGGGTTTTCTTGTGTTTGTCGTGTGAATTTTTGTTTTTCTTTTTTATGGCGAAGGGTTGATGGTTTTGTTGGGGTTTGTTTCTCAAAGGAGGATGGAGTTTTTCTCTTGAGACCCTTTTTGAAGCTGTTGTTTCAATAATTTATTAGACTTTGTTTAGCAAACATTACCCCTTTTTATCTGCTGGTGTTTTTGTAAGGAAATGTTTTTTACATGGATTTTGTTGTTGAGCTAGTTGGGGATTTTTTGTTACTTTAAGAAGTTAGATGGCCTGTTTTTATTGAACAAACTTTTGCGTTTGTATCCTTTGTTGTTTCTAATTGCACAGAACTTTGTTGACTAAAGTTCTTTGAAATTCTTGAACTTAGACAATATGCTTTGATTTATCAACAATTGTGTTTGTGTCTTTTGTTGCTTCTAACCCCAACTTCTTTTTTTCTTCCCAGACTCAAAGTTTACACAACAAGAACTACCAGCGTGCAAGCCTATTCTCACACCACGAGCAGTAGGTCTACCTGTTTGGATGTGTTGTCAGTGATTTCTTTCATGTTTTTAGAAGTCATGGTTTACATGGTGTGTTACTTTCCATGCAGGTTATTTCAGCCTTCTTGATTGTCACCATAGTGTTCATTCCCATTGGAGTTGCTTCGCTAATTGCTTCGCATGATGTATGCTTGAGTGCAATACTTTGTGAACTATGCTTACCAGTTCTGTATATTATGAGTACTGCTGAGTGCTGATTTTGATTATATCTATCAGGTTGTTGAGATTATTGATAGGTATGACTCTCAGTGCATACCAACAAATGTGACAGACAAGGTGGCATACATTCAGACTCCTGGTGAAAAGCCATGCAATAGGACGCTACATGTAAGTTTTCTTGATTCTGATTTCTCTTATTGGTGTTTAACCATTATTGTCATATTGAATCGTCTCCCATAATTGATGAATTCTGTATTTCAAATTTTGATGGTTGCTTAATTTGTTTGTTTTTCAATACATTGCTCTTGTGAATAGGTGGACAAGCGTATGAAGTCTCCTATCTATGTTTACTACCAGCTTGACAACTTTTACCAGAATCATAGGCGGTATGTTCTCCTTTTATTTCTTGTGAACCACGCAATTCTATCATCAATTTGAATTTAATGTTATCAGCCAATGAGAATTTTATTGTTATTTAGTAAGGATTCAAGCATTCAACAAAGATTTATGGTTGACTGCCAAAAATCTTACAGAACCCTCTCTTTCATTGGGATATTGTGCATGTTGCTAACAGAAGTTATTGAGTTGCACTGAACTTCAGATTTGGTTTCATCCTTTCCTGTTAGTCTGCTACAATTTTACAATGAAAGTACATAAATAACTAGTTTGATATCTGACATGAAATTCATTTAAAATCTAGCATGTAAAATGCAAAAAATATTTTAACAAATAATAATTGTAAATCTTTGAGTTGTAAGTTGTGACTCTTTTTTAACTTGAAGAGTTCAAGGGAAGTGCATCAGATATAAAAGTTTAAGAGGCAATTATGAACTTCTTTATTTTTCATGCATTCATCTTATATTATGAATGGTCCATTATAGTCTTCCGTGACTGAATCCTTCAATAATTCAGTTTCAAAGTTTGTTTGGCTAATGGTGGAATGTAATGCAAATAGTTCTTTTCTCATGTAATTATTATAAATATGTTATTTGGTAATTTAGGTATGTTAAAAGCCGAAATGATGACCAGCTGAGGGATTCCAAAAATGCTAACTCAACAAGTGGTTGTGACCCTGAAGATTCAGCAAATGGAATGCCAATCGTACCCTGTGGTCTTATAGCTTGGAGCTTGTTCAACGATACATACAGCTTCTCACGCAGCAGCATTAATTTGACAGTGAACAAGAACGACATCTCATGGAAAAGTGATAGGGATCACAAATTTGGAAGTGATGTTTTTCCTAAAAATTTTCAGAATGGTTCTTTAATAGGGGGTGGTAGTCTTGATGAAAACACACCTGTAAGTCTTTCTTTGAACTAAAATTTTGATTAAAAAAAAGCATCTGTGTGCATAATTCTCCTTTTCTCATAAAGTCCAGAACAGTAAATTGAGGTTGTTTGATATGTGCTGTACAGCAGTCAATTGTAAGCCCCTTTTAAATATAAATATATTTGTGCTTGCAACTTTTGGTTTAATATTGTTCTGTTTCTACTTAATTACACTTCAGGCTGTCTAATAGTAATGATTGGTGTCCATACTGTGTGCACATAGGTTTTGTATTGTTTTGATCTTTATGTTTTTCTTACTAAAATTGTTCTCTAAACCACAATTTGATTTTAAAAACTGAAACTACCAATATAGTTATCATGCTAAAGTTTGGATATCTGATTAACTATTTGTTTTGAATATAACTGGCTGAAACAACTCAGTTAATCAATCCAAAGACAGGAAAGTTTTTGGAAGGAATGTTAATATATTTATTTTGTAAATGCTCATAGTGTGGAAGCATATAAATAATTAAACCATCAGCCATCCTTTGATTGCAGTGAGGATTGAGCTTTGACCTTTTTCTGTATTCAGAATTCATAATTTAGTCCATACTGAGTGATAGCTGTAGATAATAATTGAGTATGTCATACAACTACTCCAATGTCCTTGTCCAAATTTAATAAAGTTGTTGAATTTCTAGTTAAGATCAGAGACTAGATTCGTAGACTGAAATTTTAGGCACCTTTTGATATGAATGAATCTTCCTATCCAAGTTTTGAGACCTTTGATCCTCCCAACTTTTATTGATTCCTGACTCTGAATAAGCAAATGATGAATATGCTGGTGAACAAAAAGGCATGTTGAGTTGTGCACTGAAATGACTATCCTCTGCATGGTAGTAAATTAGTAATGGTCCATTCTGCACCAGTCTGATTAAGGCATTTGTGTTACTTGTGCTGAGAGGGTAATTGTTTTTTTTTCTCGTTTTTATAATTTACAATCTGTTTCATTTTTCATCTTTTGATTGTCTTGGCATTCTCTATTTGCTTGCATCAATGAGAAAAGTTGCTCACTTTTTGAATGTTTATGTAACAGTTGAATAAGCAAGAGGATCTCATTGTTTGGATGCGAACGGCAGCTTTGCCAACTTTTAGGAAGTTGTATGGAAGGATTGAAGTGGATTTGGAGAAAGGTGATGTCATTCAGGTGAATTTGAACAATGTCTACAACACATACAGTTTTAATGGCAAGAAGAAGCTTGTTCTGTCAACTACTACCTGGCTCGGCGGGAAGAATGACTTCCTTGGCATTGCTTATCTTACTGTTGGAGGATTGAGCTTCTTTTTGGCCATGGTCTTTACTCTTGTATATCTTGTCAAGCCTAGGTAATGAAATCCCCTACTACTTTTTACCTTGCAAGTCTTTTTTGACTCCATTCTGTTCATGGCATAGCATAATGCACTTCCTCATTCTGTTCCTTAGTTTCTTAAATATGTGTTTGACCAGAAATGGTGTTCAATGCCCTCACTTTTTGCACATATTAATAACATTTTTCTAACTTATAAGTTCTCCCATACCACCACTTTTTCAGTTGCTAAACTATTGATCATTACCCCATTAATCAATTTGATTAGAAGCTACATATTGGTCTAGTTAATTGTTTGCCTAGCGTATTGCAAATTAGTTGTGTATCTAATGTAGTTCATGTCATGTGAGAGCTTTCTTCTGGCAAGTAAAGCTGGAACAAATAAAAACAAAATGGCATTATCTCTTACAAAAGTCAAAATATTAGGAGTACATGATGCATGTTGATTCCCTTGTAACATACTCAACTCTATATCCTTTGAAATTGCGAAGTAGTTTCTTGTTTTGTCTGAAGTTCATATATTTCAACACCACGGACAATGGTAGTTGTGAATATAATTTGCTCCTAATATGATGATCGTCTCTTTGTTCAGGCAACTTGGAGATCCCTCTTATCTGTCATGGAATAGGAACCCTGGAGGGCAATGAGCAGAGAAACTGAATGTGATTGATCTTCATAGATTTTTACACGGATTGTGCATTATACAAACTACAATGGCGGTTCTAATTTTGTACATCAATCAATATTCACACATGCTAATAATAATACTATTCAGATGTTAGGTGTTGTTATTGTTCCCTACCCCACAAAAATTATTCTAATGCCTTTCGGTTTTCTGCATCAGAATCTCAATATCTTGTATTTTGTGATGACATAGTGTTCAATATATGAGCTAGTTACTTTTATACAAACTGGGAAACATAGGAAAGTTCCTGCTGGCTACACCTTTTGGCCTTTTTCGTGAGTGAAAAAAAAGAGAAAAAAAAGCAGTGGTTGTTTTGTTTAAACTTGTAGGACACATTCTTCAATGATGTGATGTTAAAATAAACATGATAAATAATACACATTAAGAAACAATTTGAGGAGAGACAACTAGTTGTTGAACTGAAGTTTCTTTGTTTTTGCAGAGTCCTAACCCTTGCCATGGAATCTTTGTATAGCGGTATATTATTGATTATAATGTTAATTGTTTTTTCATTCATCTACGGTTTTGTAGGAGAGTATGTGAATGAAAGCTAGTTATTAATGGTTAAATTGTAAATCATAATAGTAATAACTTTTAGAAATGTTATCAAATCATAATAGTACGTTAAATGTATGTATGTAAATTATTCATACAAAAACTAAACTAATGAATTTTCTTTATCTTAAACGATTATAAAAAACTTATTTCTGCATCACAGTATATTGTTAAAAAGAAAGTTAAAAAAAGATACGATATAGTAGTCAAAAGTATAATTAATATTATTATTATTTAAGTTAAAAATTATAAATAAATTAAAACTAGACTTCTAGTAAGAATTAAATTGTTGTATTGAATATAGTGGAATGTTGATGTGGGTCCCGAGTGTATTAAGAATATTAGTTAATTTGATTGTTCATCTAACTTAGGCATGAAAACCTATTAATTAATGTATTACTTACAAGGAAAGACATTAAAAAAACAATTCACACATTGCCTACAACCCCTAAAGAGATATCTTACCAAAATTCTTCGAGTTTGAAATTTTATCATATGAATATTATTATTAAACATTTCACATTACACATACTATTACAAGTAAATATTAACATTATAGTAGGAGATCATGTTAAACTTTCTCTCTAAGAGGTCCATTTAATAAATTGTAAAATAAACTTACAATTACTATTTTAACTTTTTGGTATTTGGAGAATTACTTTTATGAGTGCAAAACTATTTATGAGACAAATTGTTAAACAAAGGCAAACTCAATCCTATCATGACTAATATCTTTTGGAGAATTACAACTACAAAACAATCCCACCGTATTAAAATCCATTTAGACAATTTTTTCTTGAACAAATCTGAGGTACTAAAAAGGAATATAATATATTTTCTTTACAAACTAAAACTAATTTATCCACAAGTTAAAAAATATATATTTAAAAAATTATAAGAGAAATTTAAAAAATTATAAGAGAAATTTTATAAATTAGTTTATTTATAAATTAATTTTAAGTAGGAAATATATTATATTCTTCTTTCATGAAAAATACACTTTGAAACGAACTTCATCAGCAAATTCAGAAAAGTATATACTATTTTATTTTTATTGTTTTGTAAATTTAATATTCAGGTAAGTTAAATCCTTGGAACTCACCAAAGATCAAAGTATGTTTCAAAACTCAACATTTCAAACTATCCACCAAGAAGATCCCCACATAAAAAGTTACTTACATGTTCTTGAGATAAAGTTCAATTCTTACTAATAAAAATAGATAATATGTAAATAAAAAAAAATCCTTTCACTTCATTTGTGTTGTGTTTACTTGAACATAATTTACTGTTCAGAAGTGATTGAGAGCGAAGAAATGAAGTGATTTATGTGTTCACTGTTCAGAGGAGATTGAGAGTGAAGAAATGAAGTGATTTATGTGTTCACTTGACAAAAAATGGAAGGAACGGTTTGAAAGGATTTGTGGGATGCATCATTTTTTTTTATCATCTGTGAAAGTGAAGAGATTTGGAGGGATTGGTTGTGCAAAGTCTCATTTATCCTCTGCGTAATTTATAATTCCAATTCCAATTATCACACATATTTTGTTCTAATTACAAAGAACTCAGTCCAATATTTTGATTAATAATAAAAACATGAGAAGAACATTGATTTATATAGTCACTATAGACTTACAATGAAGAACAAACTGGTTGAAAGATGAAGATGACTTTTGAAGCTGAAGAAGATGAAGAACAGTGATTTGTTGGTGGCGTATTCGGTTCCCAGACAACCCATATTCGGTTCCAGGCGTATGAGGAATTTATATGGAACTTGTATTCGATTCCTACTTCCTTTTATTCGGTTCCAAACATTATGTATTTGGTTTCCAAAATATGGTATTCGATTCCAGCGTGATGGATTAAGTGAGAGCATTGAAAGTGGTGACGAGAAGGAAGCGGAGGACGCGCTTTGGAAGAATCGTGGGTCGTAAAAGGGCTATTGAGAATTGTGATGGTGTTGATGTTGTAGTGGTGGGTTGAAGGGGTGGTGAATCGAGAAACCAGTGGTGGTTGTTGGTGTTGAGCCATGTAGAGTGGAGTTTTGTCAATTAACATGGTAAAATTGTGGTCAAAAACTCGTCTGCGTGTTTTGTCGAGTTTGCCAACAATGACTTCATTTCAAGCAAGGAGTATTATTGATGAGTTCAATTATTAAGGTTTTTGTAAGTGAAGTATTGCAATGTAAAACTGGTAGAGAAAAGTGAGGTTTCAATTTTTGAAATATCCAAGAGTCTAATTTGCAGGGTTTGACTAAGTACTTATAATAATAATAATAATAATCCTAATAATAACAATAATAATAATAAATAATAATAATAATAATAACAAATAATAATAAATAATAATAATAAATAATAATAATAACAAATAATAATAATAATAATAATAATAATAACAAATAATAATAATAATAACTAATAAAAATAATAATAGTAATAATAATAATAATAACAAATAATAATAATAACAAAGAATAATAATAATAAAAAAATAAAAAATAATAATAATAATAATAATAAATAATGATAATAATAATAAAACAAATTTATTTTACTAAATTATAATTTTTTTACTTTTTAAAAATTAATTTTAATAATTATTTTAATTTTTTAGTCTTTATACACATTTTTATAATAAAATATAACATTAACAATTATCATTTTATATTACTTTAATAACTAGAAACATTTTGATAATTTTCAATTTTTACCAATTAAACAAATTTTTTAAAACTGTCAAATCAATCAAATCTTACAGTAATTCTCACAAATTTTACCTCTAAATTTACTCTCAATTACCTTCAAATCCACTCAAATAAACACACAAAAATTTATCCTCAAATCCATTTAGTTACACTCCCTAGATCATCTCCCCGAATCACCCCAAAGTGAACACAATGACAAAACACAAGCCATTGAAAGGACGAATATGTAGTGAAAGTGTCTTCAACCCAAGACTTCTAATGCAATCCAATTCTCAGAGACATCTTTGAGATAGCATCAATGTTTAGAAGGTCTCATTCTGATTTCCATCCCTTGTTCTTGTAAAACTGTGACTGACAGTTTCACATTTCAATTTCAATGATAAAATTAGTATGAGAATAACTGAGACAAACCTATCATCATTTTTTCTTCCTTTCTACTGATGTCTTTTTCACTGATTCTGGTGTGAGGATATTTTGCAAAGTTGCATTAAAATATATAATAGAAAAAAAAAACTTGAATGAATGAAATGAAATCACTTAAATACATTACTCATGAAACTCTCAAAAGAATGTTGGTCAGGTATGCGCCTTCGGGATATGATGGATCAATAGGATGATCACATGCTGCTCCAGACTGTCTGAGAACAGTGATTTTCCTACCTGCCATAGATGCTGCACCCTAATAAAAAGAAATAAGGGTAAGAGCAACTTCAGAGTTGAGAATACAATTGGAACAAATGAATTCTTAGAGCTTTTATAGAAATTGCTTATAAGTATATACATCCAACGGTGCTTAACCATTTAAAAGAAATCACCTTAAATTAAGGTTCTTGTGTGAGTAAAGAATTGGTAAGTCTTCTCTAATCCTATGTGATCCTAAAGCCACAAAAATTTCTCATCAAAACAAGACCTTGAATTTGTTATAATTAATTACAATCAAAATAAGTTTATTCCAGATTATGCTCACCAAAAATGAGATGAAAATAATCTATTTTGTTCAAATAGTATAATTAAATCACTTTTTGTAAATTATAATCCTAGTTATTTATTTTCTTTTAATAATATTTCTATTTTATTTTAACATCAGAACTTGCTGAAATGTTTATTTCTTTCATGTTTTGTCATCAATTTTTATTTTATAAACAGATAAATAAATTTGCACAACTCTTTTCATGAATATGAATATGTCTGAACAAAAAATATATGAGGACAGTTATCTAAAAATAAATAAAGATTTCATTTCAATATAGATAACATTTTGTATTGTTATACTTCTGCTTTTTGTGTACAACTTATATCAAAGCCCTTTTTCTGTACAACTTATTTGGAAAAACTTGCACCAAAATTTGCAGCCATGAAATTTAATATTCAACAATTTTTGAAAAATAAGCTATGATTAAAAATTACATTTACATGATGCTAACATATCCTATCATTTAGAAAAAAACAATTATCTCCTTTATGTTTTGAATGAATAAAACTCATACTCCCTATATATTTTAAAAAGATATTAACTTCCCTCATGATTTTAACAAATAACATTCACCTCTCTTATGCCTTTAATAAAGTGACACTCACCTCCCTTATAAAAAAATGGATTAAATATGTTTTGAGTCTCATAACTTTAATGCAAAATTGGAATTTGTCTATGTTTGAAATTTTAATACATTTTGGTCTTCAAACTCTAGAAATGAATGGTTATAGTCTTTTTAACCAATTATGTAAAAAAATTTACACATTAAAAGGTTAGTATTTGAGTTGTTTGTACACCTTGACATGTTCTCGCTTCAATATCAATTACTAAAAGCATAAGAAAGGTGAATATATATTTAAAAACCAACAAGAATGTGAATGTCATTTTATTACAAACATAAGAGAGGTGGGTGTTTATTTTAAAACCTGAGGGAATTTGAATGTTGTTTAGCATAATTTGATACAAGGAGAGTGCAATTTGTTCTAAA